CCTATAAATTGAAATATTTCTCTATTATTCAGAAATAAAAGATTGATTTTTGGCCATTTTTATACAATTGGTTTATAAATTAAAACAAATTAATTGAAATTTAAATGCAACATTAAGGTGATGCGAGCGTCGAAAACTTTGCCGACAGTCCCTAGAAAAATCCCAAGACGCGAGTTTTCAAAATACGTCCTCATTTCTAAACAAAATGCAAAAAAATTTGAGTGACGTGTTCAGGAGGCTCTAAAGAATATTAGTCTGGTCCTTATATTATCCAAATCGTCAAAAAGTTATAAAATATTGAAATTGCTGTCTGTCAACGGTCAAGAAAATGGCGGATCAGACTCACCTGCATAGATTTATTCGTAATATAAACATTTCTGTGAATCGTATGTCCAAATAGGGACCAGACTGATATTCTTTGGGTCGGATAGGATAAAACGAGCACCCAAGGGATGATGTACAAGTCTCCAGGTAGAAGTAATTTGAATACTACGATTTCGTTGATTGTTCATCCGTCAACAAGGTAAAACAGACCAGAAATTTAGTTTCTCGTTCATTCTGTAGGGCCCAGTTCGTTCGTTTTATTAATAAACAATTGTAAAATTAAAAATAATAATTAAATAATTTTTAATAGAATAATTAAACAAAATTTTGCAACATACCCACGCGGAAATGTAAAGAAATAAACAATTTAAATAGATATAACAATAATTTGATTAATAAACAATTGTAAAATATAAAATAATAATTAAACAAATATTAACAAATATCAGATAGAAATAGTTAAATCTGCGGAACCGGTGAAGCGGAACGTCATGCTTGATTGCGCGCGCCGCGCGCCGGTACACGCGCGACCTGTAGAGAGGTCAAATCTAAACAGTCTTATCGCGGCCGCCGAAGGATACGGATCGAGCTGTCAAACATATACCGGTACGGGTTGACACTATGGATATTCGTGCATGGATTTATCAGTGTGTTACCACAAGTGTTACTGTGTGTGCCTATGGTGTTTCCTATAGTGTTTCGCATGTTTTGGAATATTTATACGGATATATTAGTGCGACTTATGGTGTGGTCACCCATGTGTTCTGACATTTTTATACAAGTGCATTAGTGTGCTGTGTGGTGTGGTACCCCATGTACCTGCATGTGCTTTATTGTGTTTTATGGTGTGGTTTCCTTTGTGCTTTGGCATTTTTTACGGATTTATTAGTGGGTTTTATGGAGTGGTACCTTATGTGTTTTGGCATATTTATACGGATTTATTAGTGGGTTTTATGGAGTAGTACCCTTTGTGTTTTGGCATATTTATACGGATTTATTAGTAGATTTTATGGATTGGTACCCTATGTGTTTTACTATAATTTTGCAAATACTTTATAGTGTTCTATGGTTTTGATTTTCAAGTGTTTTGGGATGTATTTGCATGTGTTTTACCGTGTTTTATGATGTAGTTATTCCCATATAGTTTTGCATGCATATTTTTGAATTATCCTATGTATTAGCATATTAACTACAACAAATTGAGATAAAACATATATCGTTCAAGAATCGTGATTTTTATGCTTTCAGATGAGTGCTTTGGCCAGTAGAGATACAGTTTCTTTGACGAGCCAACAGACGAGCTATGGATCAATCTAACAATAAGATGCGTGGCGAGTGCAGTAGTGCAAGTCAACGATCGGTGAGTCGCATGCTTTAAAGTTCCTCCGGTTCCCATCATGTCGTAGGACGAATGGTCCGTAGCGACACGGGAATTGGTTGTAATTTTTATTTTTCGAGCGAGCATAGTGACCCACGAATATCACTGTATCATTTTATACAATGATAATCGTGCAAATTGCATTTTTGTGTATTTTATGCCTTAGCTCAGGATAGGGTTTTCTTGTACATATTTACATATATAGATTTCGAGTTTAAAAATGTAGAGAAGTCGGATGACCCTCCGACTTCACAATACACTTTCTTTTTTATATGTACAAGAATTTATTTCGCGATGAGCGGATTTCAATATCAAAGTAATAAGCATGAATACTATTAATTATTATAACTACTTACTTTGATAACGAAATCGCTCTTGAAATTGAAACGTTTTTCCGATTTTACTCGTGAAATTGGCATCAGTTTAGTATATGGGCTGGCCCCCATGGGGGTCGGTATTTGCTCTTCAAGCATTGTATAAAGTTCCCCTTTCGAACTTGAAATTCTGTTTTTGCTAATCATACGTTTTAGCTTAGGCATTTCAGCACACATGAAGAAAACTGGTAGGTGAAAATACCTTTGGCCTTGTTCATTTTTATGCCCAAAGCTCATTCGGGTACTTAGATGTACTCGCGTGGGTGGAGGGCGGTGGACAAGGTTTAGTTTTAAGTGTACATTTTGGCGACTGACAAAAGTAGTGAACCAGTAGTGAACCACGATATAAGTTCCACATGTGTGTGTGTGTGGTTAGGATGTGGGATTTGTATCGTTTATTAACAATCTTAACTTACTATAACATTACAAAATACTTATCAAGAATAAATTGAAAAATTTTTACATTAGATAATTCAATAGAATACGAAAATGAAATGTATTACTTTAACATAATGTTCACTATTATTTGTCAGTCGATTTCAGCAAAAAGGTATGATTTTATTAGAGTGTGAAAGTTGAATTGAACTCGGGTGTCGGAGGCGTCCCGGGACGTTCTCTCTAGGTGTAGGCATTTTTGCACCCGGGTGGTTGTATGAGAACCGTGGAGTGAATTTTTGTGAGAATGATTTTTGCCCTTTTTTAAATATAGCGATAGGCAGGCAGGTAGTTTACTTCTGGTGTGATTGAGTTTAGTTTATAAGTAGGCAGGGCCAGAGCAAGCTTTCATGTTTCTCTTCGTATTCTCCTCTAATACGTGAGAAGCTTGTATCTGGGGTTGGAAATTAAAAAATCGAGAGGAAAAATGAAAATGCAAATTAATTAGTTGATTAATTAATTAATTTAGCATTCTCTCTTGATTTTTTCAAGGCCAAGCCTTATTAGTTTGTAAGTCGTAGTCGTGGTACTAGACCCGATTACAAAAATGAAGTATTAAAGTGAAAGTGCAGTGAAGTGAAGTGAAGTGAAATTAAAAAGTGTTTTGTGCTTGGACATTTGCAAAAATTGTGCAGGTATGCGAGTAGCGATTCAATGGATCGTTGCTCGTTTACGTGTTACGTTTTTACAAATGTCTGAGCAAACGTAAAATTTTCGCGAGTGATTTTTGTGAGGCTATTGCCGAAGAAAGAAGAGGCTATATGCTGAAGAGCCCCGGCAAAATTTGCCCAGAAGAGGGGAACTACTAATGGCTCTCCATCTTCGGATGGACAGTCATTCTGTCACTATGCTCGCTAATTTGTTTTTTCATTTTTTGTGTTTTTCCTTGAACGGTATGAATAATACCGTCCAGGACGTATTGAACTCGAAATTTTACGAGTTCAATAACCAGCTCGTTGAATGGTCAACTCGCGATTTTATTTCCCCTATTTCTTTTTTGTTTATTGCTTTATTGAAATAAATTATTCTTTTCTTATTGATTTGCACATCAATTATATTTCATGTTCTTATTTTAATTATGTTCTATTTATTTAAAACATACTCTGAAATTGTTATGGTAATTATATTTTCTGTTGTCGGCATTTTTCATTTCAAATGTAATCGAAATTATGATGTTAATTATATTTTCTATTTCAGCATTTTATTGTTGAATTATTTTTTAATTGTTACTGAAATTAGGATGTTAATTATATTTTCTATTTCAGCATTTTATTATTGAATTGTTATTTTGTTAATTGTTACAGAAATTATGGTGTTAATTATATTTTCTATTTCAGCATTTTATTGTTGAATTGTTATTTTCTCAATTGTTTCTGATATTAGGATGTTAATTATATTTTCTATTTCAGCATTTTATTATTGAATTGTTATTTTGTTAATTGTTACAGAAATTATGATGTTAATTATATTTTCTATTTCAGCATTTTATTGTTGAATTGTTATTTTCTCAATTGTTTCTGATATTAGGATGTTAATTCTATTTTCTATTTCAAGATTTTATTGTTTAAATTTTTATTTTATGTTGTCTGTTTTGAATGGTTTCACGTTATTGTATATTTAATCCTAATAATTATGTTTTCCGTTACAGCATTTTATTGTTAAATTATTATTATTTTCTCAATTGTTTCTGATATTAGGATGTTAATTTTATTTTCTATTTCAAGATTGTATTGTTTAAATTTTTATTTTATGTTGTATGTTTTGAATGGTTTCACGTTCTTATGATTTTAGGGTGGGTCACTAACGTAGCCACCTCCACGTGGTGTGACCTGGTAATTGATATCGTTTTCTAAAGATAACTTTTAGAAAGCGATATCAAGCTAAGAGCTACTATAAAAAGATTTATATATTTTTTAATTGGGAAACAATAGTTTAAATTCAGAAAAGTATTTTCGGGATTGTAATATTACCATATAGAACGTATAACTACAATTTTACGGAAAGAAAATTAATAATAATGAATGCATGGTCAGTATTGTTTAATTATGTACTTATACATATAGCTATCGTAGCATACACGTGTCATTTAGGTGTATACGAAAGGTGATGTAGCATAGCATGCCGTTAGTTGATAGCATGCGATAAGTAGTTTGAAATTCGACCATTGCGCCATCTATTTAAAAACGGCGGAAACTACTCAATAAGTTACCGATCGATTTTACAAATTTAATATGGCGGCCGGCGTCGAAGTCGGTAATAAAGAGAACGCCTATTAACAAGAAATTCTCATTTATTTTCATGAACAAAATTCAAACAACTTTTCTGTACGTTCATTCCTTCATCGTTCCAATAAATATTTATAATTTATACGATTGAGACTCCATATTAGTTGAATCGATAGCGAGATGCAGCGGAAACTAATTAAAAAACTGTGCGGCAAATAGCGCCACCAAACAGACATTGAAGAAACCACTTCTTGTCTATACCACGGTCCCTGCAGTTTCATCGGGCATTCAGTGACTTGAAGTCATCCTGCTAATGATGATGCCTTGTGCCTTCGCGTTTTATAAACACAAAGAGACGTGTTAGTATTCTCACGCGTTTAAACGGGCTGTGATATGAGACTGTGTTTTAATGTCGATTTATGAATTATTTTAAAAGTATGTTACAAATAAAATTGATACGCGACATGTCAGCAAGATCATAATTAATGCATAATAATTACAACGTTAACGTTAAGTGAATTTGTTGTTCATCTTGTAATAACAACAAAAAGTTGAATGCGTGAAATTCTGCTACACATGCATATCAAACATGTCTATGAAGGTAAGTTTTTTATTTATTATAAAAATTGTAGGCGCCAATATGTATAAACATCTTTTGAATGAAACATTATACGACATACATTCGAATGCAATTAAAAATGAATAAAAATCTTATTTTATAAGAAATTTTTAAATACTATTTGAACTACTGTTTCTAAGCACAGAAGTTTAAAATTGTTTAATCTTTACACCTGTAACTTAAAAACAATTTTTTTGTATGACATCATTATTCATAATCACCTATGGAAATATAAAACTAGATGAGATCAGGAAAAATTTACTGAGATCTGATGTCACTTGTCTGTAAGCGATAAATTTGCAAGCATCTTATCTTAACGATTCTATAAATAATTACACAACGATTATCATCTGATTTTCTTTTTTTAACAAAATACGACGTCCCAATTGAATAGGTTGTGGTCCCATGCTTACACGTGACCACATAATCGTAACAATTGGTTAAGTTTTTCTCATTCGAGCAATCGATTCTCGTACTCGACGCGTGATGACCTATAAAACGTGTTGCTGGAACAATACAGTGGAACGTTGCACTTTGACAAGGTAACACGATTTATAAAAATAATAATAATAAAAATGAATCTCTGCGATTGATATTCATTTCGTAGAAAATCAAGGGTAACAATTACGCCTGTTCTAAAAATATTGAAAAGTGGAGAAATTGTGAAACACCGTATGGTTTCAGAAAATAAAAAAACGGTTTCAGTTTACAGCCGACTGAGTTTAATTCGTCCATCTTGATTACGATTACTTGATCCACAAAACATGAGAAACGGAGGAAAAATAATTAATTTTTTTTTTTTTTTTCTTGGTATTCTAGAAAGAATCTCCCCGAGATGTGGAATTGCATTTGGCGGCCGCGCATGGCGACACGAAGCGTCTTCGAATTCTCCTGGATTCCGGACGTGTCCACGTCGACTGTAAGGATAAGGTATACGATGGAAAAAATATATGTTTGACACATGTCACGGATGACCATAGACCTCGGTGTGCATGGAGAATGAATTACGAAGCGGTGATCTGTCGTCGGGTCAGTCGGTTCATTATGCAAAACGACGCGACGTTAAAAAGAGCGAGTAACGTTATTCCTTGTCTCGAAAGTGGTTTATTAGATCACCGCATGGATACTCGGTGTTCTACTTTGGCCCACGTAGACAAAATTCTATCGACGTATTCCGAAGGAATTTGGAATTTCAAACGCAAGTTTCTTATTTTAATTTAATTATGGATTATCTATGAAAACCGTCAGACTTCTTATTTGCAGACGATCACTTGGATTAATGACATCATTAAGGACCGGGTCCCTCCTCATTGGTTGTTACGTCAATTGAGAAACCTTACTAACAATCGCCTTGTTATCGCAATAAATTACCGGTGCAACGATGACGTGATTTGACCAAGTATGGATTCGCGTAGAACTGTTAAAGGAAATGAACAGAGAAAATCGAATTAGTTATACAACGATGCGTCTATGTAAATAGTTTAAGATTTAGAAATTGAACTAGTCTAAATTTAAATTCCTCCTCTTTCAGGTCCGTCGTTTCAAGGTTGTATCGATTAAAAAGTCCTAAAATGATTAGGGATTATTGAGACGTTTCATCGTTAAATTATATCAATGTATACGAACTGGTTCTAATTTATTTTTCTGTTTTCAGGATGGAACGACCCCTTTAATATTGGCCGCCGCCGGAGGCCACATTGAGGCGGTCAACGAATTGCTGCAACAAGGGGCGGATCCTAATGCCAGAAGGCTGGTAAGTCCTGAGCATATGCCGGGCTATGAATGAACGACTATGAATGAATCAAGTTCGCTTAGCAGACTCGTCCTGGCAACCCCGTTACCCACTCACCGGAAATAGCCTTTGCGATGTCTGAAAGTTACAGATTTACCTGATTTACTCTTCTCCATTGGAATCTTCAGTTTTCTTTTATGGATCTGAAGTGTCGTCGCTACCGTATACATTTCATCTTCTACGTATTCTCTAACAGAACTAGAGTTTATTCACAGTTATCTTAGCTGGGTTTAGCTAAGTTCTAGTAGATCTAAATATAAATTGATTCTCATCAGAGGCATCGACGTTAATAATATGTTCGTGTTTATCTGGATAATCTCAGTCAGCGATAATGAAGCTTGCAAATTGCGCTACCTCTCTATCAATCTGGTGCATGTTCTGGTGCTCCAGTCTTAGAATTATCATGAAGGAGACTACTTGGTTCGTTGAAAAAAAAATTTAAAGAGTTAACTCGTAACGCAAAGCATCAGGAAGCGATCGAGTGGTCCTCTTTAAGTGGCCTGCGACGATTTATCGTTGAATCCACGTAGTTTTCGGTGTCCCGTGCCATCGAGAGTCGCGGTATTGTATGCAAATCCAAAGGTACCACCGCCAGCCTCTTGAATATATTCTTCTTTTTTTTGGTAACGGAACGCACGTCCGCTTAGCTTTCAATTAAGAAGCAAGTATCTGGCGCGTGATTCTTTAATTAAGTCATCTTGGTTTTAGGTAAGAAAAACTTGCCGTCATTGCAACAGTTCTTGTCTCTCTTTTTCTATACCTTCTCCAATGAGATTGAAACATTGCTCATCCTTTCACCTGCCTTCTTTTCTAGACGCTAAGAAGTGTCGGTATGCAAATGAGTTGAAATCTAGTAGCCACGAAGAGAGAAAGAGAGAAAAAAAAAAAACGAACCGAAGAACGTTATTTCTGGTTTCTGAGACCGAATTCAAGCGATGACGTCCCCCCGAGCCGAGAACAAATTACGCAAACGCGCGTCAAACCTTCTAAACTCGCCAACGACGATGTTGCACAATCGCTCGTTACCCGTGTTACAGAATTATTTATATTGACGACAACGAGCTTTCAACGGCTACCTTTGATACTCATCTCGGCAGAACGCCGTTAACCACGAAACTTTGGATTTCTAACGTTTCATCGGGCGAACTCGATGAATTTTTCATCGTTTTAGAGAGAGAGTCAAACGATGAAAAGTAGATATACGAGTGTAGACGTGAAAGAGGTGTAATTAGTGGCAAATCGTTCTGCTTGCTCCTATCGATTACTAGAACGATAGTCAAGTTTCTAATTCATGTTAAGAGATTAAGAAAGAGGTGGCTCTTATTGAGCGATCGCATGCATAAGAAATTAAGAATGATCATTAAACGAGGAATGTTCGTTTTCTGAAAGAGAAAAGTATCGGTGAATGCAAGAGTTCTATTTGCTTCTGTGTTACCCGTTACTAACTGTGTTTTATTAAATGAATCATGCCAGAAATATGCTTAAAATGTTACAACAATACAAGTTACAGTTTCTAAAAAAACTGCAGCCTGAATACACTCGAGTATTTTTCTTTATAAACGGTATCGATGTTAAAATATAAGACACAGTTATGTATGTGTTCAAGGTTACCGAAGCAGAGCACGTTAGGTTGCACCGAGGCGACGCCGCGGCTGTGTATACAGAGTCGTGTTCGCGTGATTCGAATGCGTTTTAATAGCGATCGCCTGCCGTAATATGCAACTGTAACGACTCGCGTTCAAGTGTGAACCGCCTAAACGCGCCTCTGCACAAATTGCCGGTATCAGCTTGAAAATCGTGCGTGGGCGTTCGTGACACACTGATCCCTTAAGTTTAGCCTCGTTTGCGAGCAGACTTTCGACCAGTTCAAACAAACTTTTCGAAGTTGCTACCGATACTCTGGGAATATCCCCGTTACGAGGCGACGAATTTCGAGAATCTTTCGTTATTATATAAGATGTTCAACTTTTTAAAAACAATGTATTCCTTCGTTGTATCGCTGCGCGATATTTTCCTGAAAATCAAGAGTTTTTATCGTAGATAGCTAACTTATCAAAACTCTGAATCTTATATATACACTAGGCTTAAAATAACTATCGTTTGAATCACCTGAACGTTACATAAAAATTCGAAGAAATTGACGATTTCCACTTCTCGGATATCTACTTTTACACGAGGCAACGTCAGGGGTTATTGCGAAAGAAATGATCGTTCACGAATTCCCAAGTATCGGTGCAGCGGAAATTTTCCAAACTTCACGGCTGTTCATAAGAATTTCAAATAAACGAGCGATCATAGCACGCGAAAGCTGGTTGTATCTCATAAACATAGCATGTTAAAATAGCGTGCGAGCGATGGAAATAAAAAAAGGTAGATTGCGGCAGGAAGTAACAAGTTCGTTATAAATTGACGATGCATCCTCTTCGCGGTGCACCGTGCATTAATTGATACGATCGTACGAGTTTGCGCCAGGGGTACACGATGCACGACTCCGCCACAGGTATCGTGCACCATTTGCCGCTAATTACCGTGTTTGCCTACTTTCTGACAAATTAATTAAACCCCCGGTGCCTTTAACTGCACCGAAAATAACTTTGACCTTTTATATCGTTCCACTTAGGCTCGCGGCTTGTGCAAACACAGAATTTGCATTTGGCATATGTTGCGTGTAAATACTTGGCGCAGGGATAGTTTCTTAGTCCGCCGCTAGATGACTTTCGACGATTAATATTCTCGCTAGTACTCCATACCCTTGGGAACACATTATTTTGTAATTAATAAAAAATTAATGAAAACCTTTTATATCGTTCCACTTAGGCTCGCGGCTTGTGCAAACACAGAATTTGCATTTGGCATATGTTGCGTGTAAATACTTTGCGCAGGGATAGTTTCTTAGTCCGCCGCTAGATGACTTTCGACGATTACTATTCTCGCTAGTACTCCATACCCTTGGGAACACATTACTTTGTAATGAAAATTAATGAAAACCGTGTCGAAATTCTGAGAATCAATCTGTATGCTTGATCGGGTACGAGAATGAAAGAAAAAGAATACACGACCACGAATGCTACCCTGACCAGATAGACAGGTTGATCGCCGTTATAGAATTTCTGCGGTTTTGTAATGGATAGGTATTAGGTCTCCCGGCGTGACATGGTTCGAGGAACACCGGAACTTCTGGAACCTCTCTAACTTAGAACGTGTACCGGTGATCTTAAACTGTGAATGCTACAATCCCGACAAAGTAAGGTACACAATCCGATTCGAAGGGACAAGTCGAGCAGAATGACTTTTGGTCGGTGATCACCGGATGCTCCGAGGCAAATGCAACGTCAGTGAAAGTGCATGTGCCTGGTATACGAACAGGTTCAACTGCATCACACTGGACACACGGTGTTCCTTTTGGGGATATTCGAGATACACACTAGTACTTTCTCTCCTTTACCGATGAATAGATGTCCAATTCGAAAGCTCATTTTTATTTATTTATTCAGAGTATTCAGTTTGAAATTTAAATGCCGGACGGTTCTTTTACGGTCCTCATAAACTTCTTTCAAGATTCTGTCTTTCTATTCAACCAAGAGAAACTTTATTAATTCTTCTCTATACCTATCATTAATTACTTGGATGTAAATCTAAAATCCCAAAACAACAGCTTTCCCAAATCGATGAAATTCTAATGCGGTCATCTGATGAAAGTCTCATAGCAACTAAAATATTCTATCCTGATAAAAATAGAGTATAGTAGAGGAAACTACAATCCATCGATTCTTCTGAGATAGAAGGACACCTCCCTGTATTGTACCAGCAAGCACCATGTCGCGACAAAGGCGACAGGATGTCGCTCTCGCTGTCAATTATCCACAGATATTACCATCACAGTGGAAATTGTTTCGCAACGGGGTCGCAATAACTCGGGACAAATTTAGTCTCGATTTTCATAAGGCGTGTCTCGCCGACAGGGAAATAAAATGTAAAATTCATGGCCCCTTTCGGTCAGACAACCATACGAACGCGGAACTTAAGGCGAACGTGACATTTAAATGGCAAATGTTCCCTGTTAATTATTCGAAGACGTATTCATGCGTGACATTTCAAATAACATCGCTCGACGATCAAACGTAACATTAAATTTATCATGAATATTCATCCGTCGCTCTGATGTATTTGCGTCACAATTAGAAAAGAATCGAAGTCTTTAACGCTGCTGTACTTTCTTCCTCTTGTAGATGAAAGCATCCGCTTTTACACGGTAAAAGAAAAACATCGTATCTAGTTTTAGAATCTTTTCAAATGAAAAGAAAGAGACCGCTGATTTTTCCTTCTCATTGCGTTTATTTGCAATGTTTTCAGCTTTTATGACCGGTCTTCTTTTCGCGTCATAAAATCTGAAAAGTTCTTTCCCACTTTTACACAATGCTTTTAGAGTTCCAGTAAAAAGTTTGACAATTTATTGCTTGGTATTTTTAGACCGGTACAACGGCGCTATTCTTCGCTGCCCAAGGTGGTTACATGGACATAGCCAATCTCCTGTTGAAACACGATGCAGTGGTCGACTCTTGCAGCATAGTAAGAGAAAGAATTTCCTCTGTTAATTGAGTGAAAATGAAAAGTTAACGATCTCTTGTTACGATTTCAGGACGGCGGTACCCCACTTTTTGTTGCATGCCAGTGCGGTCACTTGGATGTCGTGGAAGGTTTGATCGAAAGAGGTGCCAATCCCAATGCTCACATGAAGGTAAGTCAAGGGTAGGAAAGTCCCATCGCTCGCTTTATTTCTCTATATTCTTGATGTGTAAAGAAAGGAGGAGGAGGAGGTCCTCCATGGGTGGTCTTCATCTATTCGAGTTCGAATTTCACAGGATGGTGCTACAGCATTGTTCATCGCCGCTCAAAATGGACACGTGCGGATACTGGAAGTCCTGCTGGAACACGGGGCAAAAACGGATGCGGCAAGAACCGACGGTGCCACGCCTTTATGGATAGGAGCGCAAATGGGACACGATCACGTTGTAAGGAGGCTCTTGAAAGCTGGTGCGAAGGTCGACGCCACTAGACACGTAAGTAAAAGAGATAAAGATTGACCTTTTGAAAGAACAATTGGTTTAGAAGGTTTTCGTTTGTAGGATGGCGCCACACCGCTCTTCAAAGCAGCTCATAAGGGTCATGCTGCTGTCGTTGGTGAACTACTCAAGTATCGTCCATCGCTTGGTATACTTCCAGTAAGCTTTTATAAGTCTTGTATAAGAACTGAAAAATTTCAAAGATGGTTATACGAGGAATGAGAAATTTATAATACTCTAAAATTAACTATTTCAGTACTTACATTGCCCTGTTTTCTGTCACTCATTTCAAGTTACATCTCAAGTGGTAATTGTTATATTCTAGAACGGTGAAAGCGCATTACACGCGGCAGCTTTAACAGGACAAATGACTGTTGCGAGGCAACTGGTAGGAGCGGGAGCGGATCCTTTACTCGTTAATCAAGAAGGTGTTACGCCTCTCCAATTAGCTATTAGACATTCACAAACGCAGGTTGCTAATTATTTGAAGGATAAACTTAGAACAAGAACGGGAGCGTCTTAGCGCAGTTCACATTTATTATCCGCCCAACAAAATAGGCGTTAAATTTATAAATCAGTGAAAAAACATAAGTATTTCTAAAAAAATATATATTATATATTGTTAGAAATGATTTATACATATGTAGGATCATCAGGTAAGAGCAATCTTATTATATTTCAAAGCGTTACAAGATTATAAAGGTGAACGGGATTTAATTTTTTCTGCAAGATTATGTGCAGAAATTCCGTTAAAGTTATTTATTTTTGGTATATGTACATTAGAGAGATATAAATATATAAAGTAAATCTTATAGTATTAAAAGATATGCGAACACACATTTTAACGCATCCACTTGTAAATATGTTCTCTCACGACAGTGAAACATTGAAATCATTCTTTTGATGCAGGTAGTATATATATAAATATATCCTTCAAAGTTGTTTTTAGATAGAACTATATATCTTGTTAATGATGAAATTGTGATGATAAACGTAATAAGTATATTAATATACTTTTGAATAATACAATCATCATGTGCTAATTAAAGATTCTATAAGACTGATTAATTTGCCTTAAAAAATTAGAAAAGAAACGAAATTTAATAATTTGATAATACGATGTCTATTTCTTCCTGTTGGTTTATATATTGTATTCGTATTAGAGTATGATGCACAAAAAGAAGAGAGATACTATTTATTGAAAGTATAAGAGAAAATATATTTTAAATCTTTAATCTATGTTTCTAAGTGATATTAAGATGTTTTATTTTGATGTAATATTAATATAATATTTTATAATTATTTGTTTAATGTTACCTTACAATGTAATAAATGCGTTAACTGTTTTCCCAAACTGTTATCTACATTTATTATAAATCTATCGAAGTACTAACTATGTAGCTTAAGTAAATATTATAGGTGATTTAAATTATAAAAAAATATGTTTTAGTGATTATCAAGTTCTTTTGAGTGTAAAATATACAGTAATGGATATACATTTTATATACAAACAACTAAACATTTCTCTTTGTGTAACATCACAGACTAGACTACTTAAATGTTATCTAAAATTTATTTGAATTTCAATAGAAATTAAATAACTTTTTATTATCAAAGTAATTAAATAGAGGGTATTCGTTAAAAACCCAATCTGTTAGCTTGTTATATTTAATATAACTTTGTTATTATATAACCCAAAATGACCATCAATTTTCTTATAGTAGATTTATTAATTCAAAAAATAGAATTGTTTTTAGTTATTAAATTATATATGTACATAAGCGATATTATTTTTCAAAGTCAACATCTTACACCATACATATTAATGCACCTTGACTGTATAGAAAAAAAGCAACTTGCACTGTGTTATAAGAACGATAACAAAAAATTATCATATTTTCAAAAGAAGAGTATTATTATTTTTCCAAGAAAAAAAACAGGAATGACTGAAATAACGCGTCGAAGGTGCATAATTTATATCAAAGCTGTCCTTGTAACCCAGCTGCTAAGTGCCTATTTCCTATTTCATTTAAGATGCAAAGCATCTTCTAGGTAAAGTGATGCAGTTCAACCGTGAACCAAGTCAAACAGTTTAGTAGAGCAGATACGGACAAATACGTTTAACTGAAATTCGCGAATTAATCGCAGCAATTATAAGTAACAATGCCAACGTCACACTCGATTTTATCAATTATCTCTACTACACTGATAAGATAGATAACAAAAAGATACTTTATGTACTGAATTGGTGGAATTATCAGTTGTATACCGATGCTCAAGCAATACTCATCATGGTCCGTGATCGAATGCCAGAACTACGTGCTGTTAGTATATTTATCGTTTAACAAATTTAAAAGTGATGAAGATTATCATCATACTAAATTGAATAAAAATACGTGTGAAATGTGATGTGTTTTAAAATACTGTTTCTTAACGCTTACTCTTTACATTAAAACAGAAATATAATATAGTTGTTTATTCTCATTTCTGTTTAGTGTCAAAATAATAGCACTACATTTGGTAAAGGATTTTTACAGGATGTACACATTCAAATATCCCAGAATAAAAAACTGAAAGAAGTATTGAATGAAGTACGTATGTACATATGTATACAGTTATTCTTTTTTTCCATATATCACAGATTTCTACATCACCAATAGATGTTTAAATAATGTTAATACAGGTTGAAGAAGTTCGTGCTTTAATTGAAGTCATAACTGAGAACATCTCAATCATAAAGGATTTACACAACAATGTTCTCGCGTATACCAATAAGGGTAAGAATAAAATACCAAATGTTGTAATTGTCGAGGTAAGTATTAATAAAATACTTCTTTCAGACATGCAAAAAGAACTGGAAAATCGAACATATACTGTTTCGCAAACATCGTTTCGTATTCAACGGAAATTAAGAGGTAGGTAATTTTCCTTTTACGTATTATCTACACACTGCATTATAAATAAAAATAATTTATCTTACTTATTCTAATCAGACTCGCTATCATATTGAACTTCCCTCGCCGTGTAATGGAAATTGTTTAATTGTTTTTCATTCTGGAAAAAACTGGAAAGTCTTCTAGCTTTTGAACAGTGACCATTAAAATCCAAGGATTTAAATGAGTTGGGTGTACTGGTACTAGGACCAGGTTGAGCAGGTGATAATAGTCGTAAATTTGAAACCGAAGGAGTTGAAAAATTCCAACAATCTATAGAAGTAGTTGGAGTTAACCGAGAAATTGGAATACTTTGTAATACAACCTTAGAGTGTAAGCTACATGTTGTTAAATCTGAATTCTGGTTATTTGTAATCTGCTTATTGGTTTCTGATGGTAACATTACTTCTTCGCTAGAATCCTCGTCATTAAAAGCAGTATCTTCTAGTTGCCTGAAATATATTATAATTAATATAATTGATTAATAACATAAAGCAAATTAAACGAATATATACATACTTCTTGAATTGCTCAACTTCTTTTTCCAATTGTGGATATTCATTTAATATATTCGATAATTGATCCTTATTGTATTCGGAGTATGTTTTAATTAAAAGTTTTTTTATATCACTCTCTAATGGAGATTTTAAAAGTGATAATTTTTTTCTAAGCTTTATTAACATAGGTAACAACACTTCTAAGCCATGCTTCTTTATTCCTTCAATGATAACAGTGATTGCATTAGTAGTTGGTGTAATTGTTTGAACTGCAGGTTCATCACCCTCTTGTTGATCATCATCGGTGTGTTTGTTAAAAGATGATGGTCGCAAACGTTTATTACCAATTATATACAATGCATCTTTCAAAACACCAACTCCTTCTTCTTTATTAACATTAATTGTATCAATGCAAGTTCCACCGAGTATCTGACTAGTTATTTTTACAAGTAATTTTATTTTTCCTGGAGGATCCAAATGATCCAACATAAAATCATAAATTACTCTTCGTTTATCCTCATTTTTCTTTCCAGGAAGTGTTAAAGCTTTTCGTTCTTTCTCACGCATCTTTTGGTCATAAACTTTATGCTGAGATCGGTAATTATTATAATGATATATACTTTGCAAAAATTGCTGTGATATTAATGTTTTATTCTTCGTTAAAAGTCTTTCTTTTATAAGAAAGTTAGTTAATTCACGTATCATGCTGTCTGAATCTGACAACATTGTTAATATATGGAAAAAGAATGGACCTTTAATTTTTATATAATCTTCAAGAAGAAGTTGAATAAATATCACCATTATTGCTTCTCGTACTTGTGGACTTGAATCTTTCATACTTACACACATATCTGATAAATAAGGTTCAACCAATGCGGTAAATCGAACACAGATATCTGCCAGAGCTTTTGCTGTATTTATTTTCACAGCAATTTGAATGATTGAATCTAAATTTGTTTCTTGCCTCATTAGTTTACCAAATATTGGAAGTATTTCTTTAGCTACATCGCGATCTCTCACTGCTTGCTGACCAAGAATAACAACTGCCGATGCTTGCAGTTCATTTATGTCCTTTATTACATCTGGCAATGATTCCCATTCTAACAACATCCCTTGGAAAATTCGTAATATCGATGGTGAAATTTTATAAGCACCCAAAAGTGTAGCATTTCCCAATGTAAACATAGCTTTTAAATAATTCGGTACTATATCCACTAATTGACTTTCATTTATAAAAATCTTTGTAATTTCTGTTTCCGAAACTTTTATCAAATTTTCCATGTACAACTCTAACAAATTATTACCTTTATCGGGATTTAAATAGAGTATTATGTTATGTATAATATCCAAACAAATACTAATCAAACCATAACTGATTTTAAATTGTTGCAAACATTTGTACATATATACATGAAGCTGTTCTAAAACTTCGTAATCTAAAGATTTCCAAGAATATCTTAAAACTTGTAAAACTAAACTCGTGCAGAAATTGTTTGATTCTAAAATCTCTTTGTAGTTCGAAATATATTTGTTCATGTTGGGTAATTTGGTGTTTTCAGCCAGTGCTACTAAAAGTACCCAGGCTCCTATATTATTATTTGTCCCAATATGAGATTGTATGTTTTTTACCACTGAATTAGTGATAATACCATGCTTAACCCACAAGTTACATGCTTTTGACAAATGTTTTCTCATTTTCATATTAGCTAAAGTATTTAAAATCTTCCATGGTAAATTATCTGCATTAGTGTCGGTATTCGTAGAGACATCTTTTATTCTATTTAATAGTAATTCGTGTAAATATTCTAGCACCTTTTCTTGTACTTTAATTTCCATGTCAAATATTTGTGGTACGACGGTTTGTACCCATTCATCTAAAAGTTGTGAATTATCTGGGAATTGCTGTAAGAGTTGAGATAACATTTGTACAGCAAACCGACGTACTAATAATGCCGGGTCTCTACATCTACGACTGATTACAGATAATACTTCTTTTATCAAATTTGGGAACATTAGGATTAAATTTTTTAAAATCTGCAATGTACTTCGTCGTATCATTGCCCTTTCGTCTTCTATACGTTCCATAAGTATTGTTATTAAAACATTTGAACCTGGTAATAATTCAATATCCTCGGATAAAGCATCCTTTAATTCATGGAATGCTAAAAACTTCTTGTTTGGATTAGATTCATTAAATATACTTTCAAATATGGCCTTATCTATTGCATTAGTAGATTCTGTGAATTCAGCAATTATGGCAATGGCCTTTCCTCTTACCATGCTTGAACAATCCATGCATCTACTTGATACAATTGCAAACAATACTCTTTTTATTTTAGTTTTCAAGTTATCCATTATACTGCAATTCATTATAAAAGGTTCAAGCAATAGTTTTCCAATTATTTCTTGAGCAAACAGTCTAAATGTTATCTTTGAATGATGAGACAGTAATATTATATTTTTTAATGCTTCTAGCATAATATGATGTTTACATATTTCAAGAACCTTTATTAAAACGCTAGCTTGTTTCTGACGAGCATCGAGTCGATCTGGGCAGTTCAGCATTATATGCTGTATTAATGTTAAAATTGCAGTTTCAGCATCTCTTTCATATGTATGTAATAAATCTTGTAAAAAATGTATAGTATTTTTACGTATATTTGCAATCACCTTTGCTTGTGCATCCATATGATTGCATAATAAACGAGGTAATATATATTTTGCTATGAACGTTGCAGTAACCTTAATAGGACCATGTTTGTTGTCGCACAATTCGTGTAAAGCTAGATAAGCATTCTGTGGTAACGAAGCTGCTAAACTATCTCTATGTCCATTGTGTTGAGAAACCACAGAAGCATCATCTATTTTTGTAACTTCAAGTAATCCCTGAATTGTAATGTCTAAAGACTGAATATGATCTTTAAACCAAAATGATCTTGTCATTATAATAAAGGTGGAAATAATAGCATTCAAATTTCTTATAAGAGTTTCTTTCTCATTATGCGAGAGGACATAATTTTCATTCATCAATTCATCTGTAATAACTGAATCATCTAGACTCATTGCTTTGCTATGTTTTTTAGTACAAGGTTGTAACTGTTCTGAATGCGTTTTAATTGTTTCTATGGTTTGCTGATATAAATTTGGATGAAACACATTAAATGCACTGCTACCAGGAATAGCCAAAAGTATAAAATATAGATTAGTTGCGTACAGACTTGATTGTCTTGAATCTTCATCAGTTTCTTTACCTTGACCACTTTTTATTATGTAACCCAATACAGCTAATAAAGCACGCACCTTTACATCCATAATAATCAATGTATTCCAAGATATTTCAGAAGTTTCAGAGTCATTCTGACTTCTTCTATCCAATAGCCATGCTTTTACAATAGTATAAGAATCATGTAAAAGTAATCTCATGTCTTCACTTTCTATAAACATGAAATATTCATCAGGTGGTTCTTTGAAAATCATAAACTCTCCATTCCAAACTGATTCAATCCAGTCTTCATCCAACTCACTGAATTTAAAATTATCAAATATTTTCAAAGATTCCATAGTAACAACTGTGTTCAGTTAAAATTACTTTAAACGAAATTACAACTATTATCACATTTCTTCAACTATCTTACAAATGTAAACATAACCTTAACTTATCATTTGATAAAGAAAAATTATGGTCTCAGGTTATCATTTTCTGAGTACGTATCGATAAGAATTTTATAATTCCATTATGATGTATACCAACAAAAAACTTTTTTGATGGTTTATTACAAAACATTTCTTTTATATTGCAAGAAGTTCTGTTTAGAACTTCGGCGTCCATTCAGAAGCGGGAAACTGACTGACCAATTTGATTTGCTACAAGTGCAACGTGCAACACATGCATATATGTATATAAATACACACACATATTTATTTTCGATGCACTTTACATTGCGCGTCTTTTGCAAAAAAACTTAATTAAGGAATATAAAACATAAAATAATTAAATTAAAAAAGTTATACTCTAAACAATTATGATTACTTTATCTTAAACAAATTAATTAACTAATGTATTTTATAAAATATATACTTAATATTTATAGAAATGGGAAAGGAAATCGCTTCTATTGATGACTTAACATTATCTAGCGCAAACGACGGACCGATACATATACGAATTAAAGCATTACAATACACAACAATGTTGCGATTATTTTCCGAAATTATGGAAGAATACAATATATCCATGTTAAGATATCACGAAAAATGTCGTTTACTTTTACAGCAACAAAAAATATTAAGTATGTTTTTAGACAAATTTTCTTTCTAATAATTTACATATTATTATGATTTACATTATGTTGATTTGCTTATTAGTCAGAAAGCGTATTACAAGTGAAGAATTAGAAAAACTATTGGATAATCAAGGAAATAGTTTATTTGTTGATAATGTAAGTGTTCCTATTACTGTTGTTCATAAAATTGAAATAAAAATCAATTATTATCATTTGTAGATCTTAGAAGATAGCAGAATTGCAAGACAGCAGTTATCAGATATTCAAATTAGGCACAATGATATAATAAAAATAGAAAAGTCCATAACTGAAGTTAGGGATATGTTTACTGAAATGGCATTTCTTATTGAAAAACAAGTAAGTGCCAACAAATAAGTAAATGAACAAAACTATAAACTTTATGTGTATGTAATTCTTTTTATTCGTTTTTTTATAGGGAGACCAGTTGAATAGCGTAGAATACTTTGCCGGGAAAACGGCAGATAATGTTGATAGCGGTCGCACAGATCTTAAGAAAGCAGAACAACACAGTCACAGACACAGAAAGGTATCAATATTAATCAATGTTAAATATATAATTATACAAATAATAATACTATTAAATGTCAAATATTTTTTTCAGAGAAAAATTAAGCTCTGTATAATAATCAGCATAATAATTATTGTTTTCTTGCTGATAATCATATTTGTATAGAAACCAATATAAAACTTTGTGAAAATAAAATTTTACTGCATTTTAATGCAGATGTCTTTTTTTAACAGAACCTTTTAATATACTCTGGCAAATTAAAATTAGTCATGGTAATTTATAAAAAATATTAAAAGTAAAATTATATTACTTCTGAATTTTGTATATACAGTTTTTAAAATAATTATCAAGACCTTTTGCACTAGGTCTCACTTCATACTTTTCGCAAGTGCATGCAAAAAATATCTCAAGTACATTTTGATATTCTTTCCCTAAATTAATAGCTGGTAATGGAGGCCGAGTACCTATGATTATTAATGTGTTATACTTGGTATATTAACTTAAGGCATGTGTTTTATTTGGTATATGTTCAAACACTTACCATATTTAGCTATTTCTGAGAAGAATGTAACACTATCATCCATACTAATATTTTGTTCATTCACCTTTTCTTCCTTTTTTCCTTGCATTTCTAATAATGACTCATCTGAACATGATTCCTCCAAAGAAGAATCACTCATTTGTACATGAGGTGGTGACAAAGCTATCATTTCCCAAATAACCATTCCACATGTCCAGATATCTGCCTTATTTGTAACAGGACCAGTCTCTAATGAATAAAATTTACAATCAGTTATGTTATCAGTCTTATACTACCATTAGATTATATAAATTAAAAACAAAATTAACCATTGACAATTTCTGGTGCACTCCAACACTCTGTTCCTATATATCTAAAATCACCTTTTGAAGTATCTAGTACTAAAGATTCTGTTAATGGTACGGATACTCCAAAATCACAGAGCTTAACTCTATTATAATCTTCCGAAACTAATATATTAAAACTTTTAATGTCACCATGTAGAATATGGGCAGTGTGATGGAGATATACTAATCCTTTTACAATTTCATATGTGATTTTTAAAATAACCTTGGCAGGAAATGGATCATCATCATTTTCAGCCCTTTCTTCTATCTTATCACCTAACATATAAAACTGTAGTTATACAAAATTTATTGCAATGATTTATTATAATTTTATACCTAATGATGCATCTAATTTTTCCATTGCTAGGCATGGCTCGCCATTTGCCATTTCAGCAAAAGCTCGAAAACCGACGATATTCGGATGATTTAGTTTACGAAGTATTTCGGCTTCGAATCGAATGCGTTCATTGTATTTTTCACTTTCCTGAATTTTACGATTCCGTTTCTTTATTGCCCATGGTGATCTAACAAAGCCAACTTTCGGCGATCGTTCCAAATTAAATACACTAACTCCTAACAAAGTATTTATACGTTAAAACGATGTTAATAGAAGATAATGTTATAAATAGTAATGTAATTTTCTTACCGCATCCATAACCAATTTGTTCTAAAAACGGCGAGGCCGGTATTTTTATAGGTGTTTGTAACTCTGGATTATCTTTAACTCTACTTCTGTATTTTTTATTTGTCGGTGTTTTAAATAAATCCATATTTTACAATGTTATTAAAAGAAATTTCTCTTGTAAGACTTCTCTCTTCTGAAGCCGTTACTTTTTAAACTTCCTCAACAGAAACGCTCAAGTGAGACCAACTTTGCTTAACCAAACAATCAATGATGACAATATCAAACTTAATAACAATTTCATAGTTAAACTTTCATTCAATGTATTTTAAACTTTTTGTAATATTTGGTAATTACATAAAAGGAGAATCATTTTAATGATTATTTACAATATACATGTGTAGTGGAGCTGGAGTAGCGTAGCTTGGCGTCCTAGGGACTGCCCTAGGGAACCCTAGATGGGTTAGTATGGCGCCAACAGAAATCGCTAGTCGGAATAAAGACGCTGAATCGTACAGACCACGGGTTACTATACCTACCCCACAGGTGTCTCTAATGAGGTTTTCCACCTGAAAGAGTTTCACGTTTTTTTAGAAACACTTTTGGAAAAACTGTAAGTTTTTATTAGAACGATAATCTTCGCTTGAAATTACTCCGCTGAAAAACAAGTAATTTATTATTTCCCTTACAGACTGATTTCAAAAAGGTAACATAGAGACAAGTTTAAAGAGATTTTTAAACTTTCCCATCAATCAATTCAATTATTACTATGGTGTCTATTTACTCATCGTTCAAGAGGAAACGAAAAACCATCCACCTTATCCCTGCACACACTTTTATTGCATTTTCAAAGGGGGCTGGAATATAATTATAATGCACAAGTAAATATGTATACTTGTGCAACAATAAATCAACCTTGGTAAGAGCATGCGCGAACCATGGTGGTGAGTTCATCGGGGATGAATTTCGCAGCACCTGTTGTGTTCCTATTGTGTCGTACAATGTTTTCAGTCTATTAAATTAATAAAATATATTAATATAAATATTTCAACATTTAGTACAAAATTTAATATTAAATATCTTGTAAATTATAAACTGCCTACTCTTAAAGTCATATATATCAGCATTAGGTTAAATTGTTAATGAAGATCTACCCTCGTGATAATTCATTATAAGAATGCCTCCAAGTTCAAATTTTAAAAAATGGATCACAGGATTCGGTGCAATAGGTGGTGCAATGCTTTTTTATCCAAACGATAATCATAATTCATGGATAACACCTCCTTTATGGCAAAACAAATGGGATCATAATTGGGATAGGTTATTGTTTTATTTATTTTTAATATGCTATCTTAAAGTTAATATTCCTTATATTTGTAATTAATATATTTATAGGCGTCATTCAGAATGGTCAAAAATGACAAAACGGGATGTAGAATCTGATAAACAAATATATGGAGAGACATTAGTAAAGAAAAATGCAGATATCAAATATAACATAATTTTAGTTCGTCATGGGCAATATAATATAGAAGGCAAAACAGATTTAGATAGAACACTTACAACTCTTGGTTAGAGTCTCTTATGCAAGATTTATATTTTAATATAATTTTCAAACTTGAATTAATTAAGTGTATGTTATGTTTTATAAAATTATATTAAATGTTATAAAGGTAGGCAACAAGCTGAAGCCACAGGAAAAAGATTACAAGAATTAAAATTGCCATATGATTTAATTGTACAATCAACAATAGTTCGAGCTAAGGAAACAGCACAGATTATAAAAAACTATCTTAGAGATGTAACAGTTAAAGAAGATTCAGGTCTTACAGAGGGTATGCCAATTCCACCTGATCCACCAATTAATTTTTGGAAATCTGATGTAAATGTATGTTACTTTGCATTCTTGTAGACTTGTCAAAAAAAACAAAAACTGTTTTCCATAATCAGAATATAATTGTATAATCAATGCATTTCAGTTTTATGAAGATGGACCTAGAATAGAAGCTGCATTTAGGAAATACTTTCATCGTCCGGATCCTAATCAAAAGAAAGATTCTTACATTATTCTTGTTTGCCATGCAAATGTTATTAGATATTTTGTATGCCGGTAAATATATTTTTTAAAAGTTTTATTTATAATATATCTAGTTATATATGAAATGTACATTTTTAAAAATTTTTTTTATTATAGAGCATTGCAGTTTCCACCTCAGGGTTGGTTACGTCTCAGTTTGAATCACGCGAGTATTACATGGATATCTATTCGTCCTAATGGGAGAGTAACGTTAAGGAATTTAGGTAATAGTGGACACATGAAACCATATCTTATTTCATCTCATTAAATTAAAAAATATAATTGTAATATTCACAGTATCGCATAAAAGAAAAATATACATTTATCTGTTGACAAACATTAACAAAAGTATATAATAAAGATAATTTCTTGCATTTATGAGTTTACATAACTTTCGTATTGTGAATATTATATTAAATAGATATATCCTATTTTATAAATATCGTTTTGTAAATTATATTTTTACAATAAAATATGCAACTTCAATAATTATAATTAACTATGCAGCTGACAATCTCGTAGCCTTTCTTGCATAGTATCTTTGTAATGCTGCTTCAAAAACAGGTCCAATGGTTCTCTTTTCCCAAATTTTAGATCTATCTCTCTTTTCTGCCTCTATTTTTGCTTTCACAGTTATATCTGCTTTAATAATTTTACTATTATCCTCGCATTTCTCTTCTTCTTTTTCAGCATCCTTTACATTTGAAATATCTTCTACAACAATGGGATTATTTACTTTATCGGTTTCTGAATCTTCAGTTTGTTGTTTTTGCTTTTTAGTATTAGCTTCTGATAAATCAACTTCCTTTTCATCGATCTTCCGTTTTTCAGATAAAACAGTTTTTGCTTTATTATCTTGTTCTTTTTGTCGTGTCTCAGTATCTGTATCACTGTCCTCTTCTACTATCCTTTGTCTATACTGTCTGTTCTTCTTTACTTCTTTAATTTTAATTTCATCTTTTTCCGTTATAATTACATTTGTAGAGTCGTGATCTAAATTAATTTTATCATTATTTACATCGTTCGTGACCTCGCATTCTTCTGAAGATTTAACTGTCTGTTCATATAAATGTCTATAGAAGCCTGATATATCTTGCTGTTTTTTGACATCACCAATAGCTTCTAATCTGTCCGTTTCATTTTCCTCTTCTTCCATTTTTTTGAATTCCTCCAATTTTGCTCTGTAAGCAGAAGTGACAAAACTTTCTTTGTCTGCAAACATTGCTCCTTCTGCTTCTCTTTCCTTTTGTACCATTCTTTCTACTCTATATTCTTGCTCTTTTTTTCTTCGTTCAGCGGCTTTTAACAGATTCTGAATATATCTTGGCTTTTTCTTTTCATCTTTTATTGCTTTTGATTGATCCTTTCCTCTTTCCATGTCATCATATACCTCGTCGTATTGAAATATTGTTGGGTCTTCTTTTAAAGCTTTTTGTATATTTAATTTAGTCTGTTTTTTAATTTTATTTTTTTCTCCCTCTGCTTTAAGTGTTTTTTTTACCCAATCAGTACCGTCCTCTTCATCCGAGTCATTGTTATCCCCGAATATATTACTGACTTTTGCAGCAACAGATTGCTGTTTTTTAGGTAAAATTAAACCATACCTGAAATTTTTTACAATGATTATTAAGTTTAGAAAATTGTTAAATTATTCCACTTTGATTTTTAGTAACATTTCAATATAACTTACTGTTTTTCGTCTGTGCTACTGAACATGTTGTACAAAATTATTCTAAGATGTTTCAAATCTATTGGTTAACAAATATTTATGCGTTATTTCACAGGAAACCAAAGTGTTAACAATGATTAACAAACAGTACATAAACCAATAGCATTTTACATGTTTATACAACAAGGAACATCCATATAAGAAATAATGTAAATCACAACTTGATACAGCATCCAACTCAATTCAGCTCACCATTGACTACATCGGTTTATTTATGGCAATGACTACCGATACAAACGACTGGACATGCCCTATTGAGGGATCATGATTTATGGGGTCCCAAACACCCCCAGATGAAATTAAACCTGCATGCAGAGAATATGTACAGCCGGTATGATAGTCCTACCTGTTTTATCAGTCCCTCCTTTGTCGGACCACAGACGTCAACAAGGTAAAACAGACCACAAATTTACTTTCTCGTTTTTTCTGTAGGGCGCAATTCGTTGTGCGTCGACCGAACCGTCGATAGGCCCATTTTTGCCGGTAATGTCACCTCGCTGCATTACCTGTGTCTACCTGTGTACCTGTGTACTTATACATATAGCTATCGTAGCTATATCACAACATTCCATACATTCCTGCAACTCGTATATGCCGGCATTCCTTATACCTCGACATCCCTTACATCTCTGTACCCTTTATCACTGCATCTCTTACATGTGTGCATCCTTAACTTCCCTGCATCCCTTATACCACTACATTCCCCCTCTATTCCTGCAACTCGTATATGCCGGCATTCCTTATACCTCGGCATCCCTTACATCTCTGTACCCTTTATCACTGCATCTCTTACATGTGTGCATCCTTAACATCCCTGCATCCCTTATATCACTACATTCCCCCTCTATTCCTGCATCTCGTATATACCAGCATTCCTTATACCTTGGCATCCCTTACACTTTTGCATCCCTTACATCTCTGTACCCTTTATATCTCTGTATCCAGTCCACTCCTGAATTCTCCGTGCATCTCTTGTATCCTTTCAACCCTTATAATAAATATATTATAAATAATATACTTATGGCCGCTGGTTCGAGTAAAGGTCAGTAAAGGTAAGTAAAGGTAAGTAAAGGTAAGTAAAGGTAAGTAAAGGTAAGTAAAGTCTCGTGAAAAATAATTTTAACTTTAAATTTTTGCAAAATTTAATTCCCTTTTTTGCCACCAGAGGGCGCTGATTCGACGTCGAGATTTTAGTTCGCATTTTTGCCGCCAGAGGGCCAAAATTTCGGCAAGCTTTAGTTCCTTTTTCTGAAACCAGATGGCGCTGGTTCGACATCGAAAATTTAGTTCGCATTTTTGCCGCCAGAGGGCCAAAATTTCGACAAGCTTTAGTTCCTTTTTCTGAAACCAGATGGCGCTGATCCGACATCGAAGATTTAGTTCACATTTTTGCCGCTAGAGGGCCAAAATTTCGGCAAGCTTTAGTTCCTTTTTCTGAAACCAGATGGCGCTGATTCGACATCGAAGATTTAGTTCACATTTTTGCCGCTAGAGGGCCAAAATTTCAGCAAGCTTTAGTTCCTTTTTCTGAAACCAGATGGCGCTGATTCGACATCGAGAATTTAGTTCACATTTTTGCCGCTAGGGGGCGCTGTTTTTTTCGAAATTTTCGCGAAATTCTCGAAACGAGGAACTAACTTACCTTTACTTACCTTTACTCGAAGCAGTCTTTGTAATATATTTATTATAAAGGGTGCAGAGATGTAAGGAATGTAGGGATGAAAAGAATGTAGGGATGGAAGGAATGTAGGGATGAAAGGAATGTAGGGATGAAAAGAATGTAGGGATGAAGAGATGTAAGGAATGTAGGGATGATAATAATGTAGTGATTTAAGGGATAAAGAGATGTAAGGAATGTAGGGATGAAAAGAACGGAGGAAATGAAACGAATGCAGGGATGTAAGGGATGCATAGATGTAAGGGATACCGAGATGGCCTTGGCCTATAATGAGGGATAAAATTATATAAATAACTGGAAAAAGTAAAATAAATGGGTTCCTCAGCTGAGACCCAGAAGAGGGATATAATCATAAATGTTATTCCCCTTCGATGAGCTTATTTAATAAGCAAAAACAAATAAATGAAATAAATTAAATAAACTCTGGAAAAAAATTATACTGGTAGTGCCCTCTTCATACGGACCTGATATTATCAAGGGGTGTTAGGGACCCCGCTGCGCCGATGACGCCTCCGCGTACCGACCTGATATCATATTGGGGTATTAAGGACCCCTAAACGTCGGTGAGTATCTTTGTCTACTAATAATATAGCATCTGGGGTGCCAGGGACCCCGAAGCACGACTGACTATCCCTGCATATCGACATATCATCTTGGGGTGTCAGGAACCCCGGAGCGCCTGTGACACTGTTTGCATACCGACATGGTATGATCTTGGGGTGTCAGGAACCCCGGAGCGCCTGTGACACTGTTTGCATACCGACATGGTATGATCTTGGGGTGTCAGGAACCCCGGAGCGCCTGTGACACTGTTTGCATACCGACATGGTATGATCTTGGGGTGTCAGGAACCCCGGAGCGCCTGTGACACTGTTTGCATACTGACATGGTATCATCTTGGGGTGTCAGGAACCCCGGAGCGCCTGTGGCACTGTTTGCATGCCGACATTTTGGCATCCGGGGTGCCAAGGACCCCGAAGACTACCCCTGCATACCGACATGATATCATCTTGGGGTGTTAGGAACCCCAAAACACCAGTGATACTCTTTGCTTACCGACATTACGGCATTTGGGGTATCTGAGACCCCGAGGTACCGGTGACGCTGCATACGGATATTAGGCCACCGGGGTTTCAGGGACCCCGAAGCAACTAGCGAAATATAAGAACGGAAAACGAACAAATCGTGAAACTCACTTGTTCGGAATAGTGATGGGTTTGAGCGGATCTAGCGAAATATAAGAACGGAAAACGAACAAATCGTGAAACTCACTTGTTCGGAATAGCGATGGGTTTGAGCGGATCTAGCGAAATATAAGAACGGAAAACGAACAAATCGTGAAACTAACTTGTTCGGAATAGTGATGGGTTTGAGCGGATCTAGCGAAATATAAGAACGAAAAGAATTGGTGCATGGTTTAGTTCCTTTTTTGCAGCCAGAGAGCGAAAGTTTTTGCAAAATTGAGTTGGCAGGAGTGGTCTAGTCTTATTTATTTCATAGGCATTCGTAGTTAATGCCATGTGGTTAAAGTTTCTTAACCTGAATATGTATTTTGTATTGGTTTGTAGTGGTTTGCAATCAAATTAAAACATGTTCTGGATTGTCAAATAATAGAGTTATAAAAAAGTAGTTAATTCATTGAATATTATATAAAGGTATTAATGCATTAATAAATATATTATAAATATAATAATGTATTATAAATAACATATTTATGGCCACTGGTTCGAGGAAAGGTAAGTAAAGGTAAGTAAAGGTAAGTAAAGTTATAACTTTATACAGGTATTGATACAAGACATTTGTATCAATAATAAGCTCTTTTTTAAAACCTTTTGTTTTGCAGGAATATTAATAGAAACGCAAGGAAAGCTTTATCGAAATGGTGCAGTATAAACATCGTGCTTCACGTTTAACTCCAAAGCATTTAGATCCAAAGTGCTTAATGTTTTCTATGTTCACTGCAAATGATATAAGAAATTTGAGCGTTACCAAGATAAGAACTCCTTTGTCATTTAATATCTTAGGACATCCTCTAAAAGGAGGCCTATATGATCCAGCACTAGGTAAATAAATAAATTATTACGCATTGTACGTTATGTAAATATTATATATATTTTATGTACACATATATGTATGTTGTAAATCTAGGTCCGCTCCTTGAAAGTTCAGATCCATGTGGAACATGTGGGTGCAATGTGTTCAAATGTCCAGGTCATTTTGGACACATAGAATTACCTATGCCAGTTGTAAATCCACTGTTTCACAAAGGATTATACATGTTAATTAAATTAACATGTTTAAAATGTTTTACCGTGCAAATTCCAGCTTACGTTAAATTATTATTATCTACAAAACTGAAGTTACTTCAACAAGGATATCTCAGCGATATCGAAGGTTTAGAACAAGAAGTAATGTTTATTGTTTCGGACGCGCATACCCCTTACGATGTTGATTTAGAAAGCGTTCAAAATGTAATCGATAACTATGTAGAGAATCTTTACAACAGATCAAGGTTTAATCAGTCTGTTATACGATACGATGAAAATCAATTGAGTACAAAGAATATTAATATGCAATGGCATACGTACGTTGAAAATGTTCTTAAGCAATACACAACTCCAAAAATTTGTGTAAATTGTCAGGAAACAATACCAAGAATTACAACGTTAAAAAATAAAATCATGACAACTAAAATGTCTAATATAGAAAATAAAGAAATACAATCACACGTTGTAATTCATAAATTGGAAACGATCATGATCTTGCCAGATCAGTCTAAAGAGTACCTCAGGAAACTTTGGCAAAATGAGGGAGATTTTCTGAAAGTTATTATACCTTGTTTCGGAATGGTAGATATCGAATATCCGACTGATATCTTTTTTTTCGAAGTAATACCAGTCCTCCCACCCATAGTTAGACCGGTAAACTTTGTTAACGGCCAAATGATAGAGCATCCACAGTCTCAAGTTTATAAAAGTATCATTCAAGATTGTCTTGTTCTTCGAAATATTATTCAAACGATTCAAGATGGAGATACGAGCCAGTTGCCGGAGGAGGGTAAGCTTGTGTTTGAACAAATAAAAGGTAACACAGCAATTGAGAAGTTACACAATGCTTGGCAAAGCTTACAAGTAAACGTAGATCATTTGATGGATCGCGATATGAATAAGACAGCGGACTCTGCAAATTGTCAGGGATTGAAACAAGTGATAGAAAAAAAAGAAGGAGTTATTAGGATGCATATGATGGGTAAAAGGGTGAATTTTGCGGCTCGTTCGGTCATTACACCAGATCCTAACTTAAACATAGATGAAATTGGGATACCTGAAACTTTTGCTTTGAGATTAACATATCCGACTCCTGTCACTCCTTGGAATGTAGTACATTTGCGACAGTTGGTTTCGAACGGTCCTAATGTTCATCCTGGTGCTGTAATGGTTGAAAACGAGGATGGAAGTGTACAGCGAATTTCTGCTGATAATATTATACAAAGAGAAGCAATCGCAAAACGTCTTTTAACAACAAGCGACAAAGCAAATCAATTTTTCAAAGGTATCAAGATTATACATAGACATTTACAAAATGGAGATATTTTGTTATTAAATCGTCAACCAACTTTACATAAACCAAGTATAATGGCTCATAAAGCGCGTATACTGAGGGGCGAAAAAACATTGCGCTTTCATTACGCTAATTGCAAAGCTTATAACGCGGACTTTGATGGAGATGAAATGAATGTACATTTTCCGCAAAATGAACTAGCCAGAAGCGAAGGATATAATATAGCTAACGTGTCTAATCAGTATCTTGTACCGAAAGATGGTACTCCGTTAAGTGGTCTTATTCAGGATCACATGGTTTCAGGCGTTCGTTTAACGGTAAGAGGCAGATTCTTTTCACGCGAGGATTACCAGCAACTAGTTTATGCTGCTTTGTCTACGATACAAGATAATATCATTCTTCTTCCACCTAGCATTATAAAACCAAAACCTTTATGGTCTGGTAAACAGTTGGTATCGACCATCATCGTTAATGTTATTCCACCAAATCTGGCACGTATTAATTTAACAGCTGGTGCTAAAATCAATGCAAAAGCATGGCAAGTTGCAAAGCCAAGACGTTGGAAATGTGGCTATGAATTTTCAGATCCTAAAACAATGTCAGAAGCGGAAGTTATTATACGAAATGGAGAATTATTGTCTGGAGTATTGGATAAAACCCATTATGGTGCAACTCCGTTTGGTCTTGTACATTGTGTTTTCGAACTGTACGGTGGAACATGTTCTATAAAATTATTAAGCGCTTTTGGTAAATTGTTTCAAGCTTTCTTACAGAGAAGTGGATTTACGCTTGGTATAGAAGATATCCTATTGGTAAAGAAAGCAGATATAAAACGTAAAGAAAT